TCCCCAGGCTTCACCGAGCTGTTGGCTTCCACCGCAACAATACGGTCCTGAATTATCCCGAGCTGTGCGTTTCACCAGGTTGTTTGAGTAATTGAGATCAGGATCCCCCAGGGATCCCGACGTGTCTGGCTCCCGCCGAAATGCTCGGAGGCCTTTTGAGGGTCTGGGAGCGCTGTAAAAGCATGCTCTGAGGCTGCGCCTTATTCTTCCGTGGTGGGAAAAAGACTGTACTTTGGCAGGGGGTTTTCAGTACCTGTGGGGCTGAATAAGTTATGTAAAAATAAATGAATATGCTCGTTATTCTGAGGGACAAACCAGATTCTCCTCAAACCATCACTGCCACCACCTTAGGTAGGTTCTTATTTTATTGTGGCACTGGGATTTTAACTGAGTTGCAGAACAGCCACCCAGATCGTGGTGTGGAGCTGAGGGCTCTGTGTGCGCAGCAGGTACACCCTGTCCGTGCCAGTGTCCCCTCCACCCCCCTTCCAAAGAAACCCGTCGCTGTATGCTCAGGTGCTGCCTGAAACCACGGTGCATCAGCCACCTCTCCTGACACCTATGTAATAAATGACATTTTTAAAGTGGGTGACTGTGTTTAGCGCCAAAGCAATGTGAGGATGTTGCAAAGGAGGAGATGAATGCTCATAACCATGTTCTGCTGTAGTGATTTCATTTCTTCTACTTTCTACGCACAAATGTGTGTGTGCTCTCCCCAACCTCCCCCAAAAACCAACCAAAAGTAAAGCCAGTGAAGTAGGATTTAAGTTTACAAAAGCTGGACTTTGCTCGATGCTCACTCCCTTATTTTATACCAAAGCAGAATCCAGATCATTGTTGCTTTGAAGCGAGTACTGTGCTCAAACCTCATGTGAACCCACTTTGCCAGACAACAAAACTAGCAATGTTCTTCCACAGGTGTTGTAATTGAATGTTTCCAGCTTCTCTCATATGCCTGAAGGGAATGCTTTCGGGTATTGCTGTGTATTTGTACTCCTTTTTGTATACATTCACATCAATTTTTTAAAGACCTACTGAAGAATTTCTGCTGGGCTGCTTGAACATGCCAAGCTGGGCTGCTTGAACATGCCATGAACTTTAAAAATAGCTGTTTGTTTCACTGTAGGACTTTTTTTACATACTTGCATACCAATATATTTAGTATATATATATTTATTTATCCAGATGAATACTGTCTTTTTATTGAAACAATCACAAATATTTCCTGCATATTTTCAAGGGCCAAAGCCAGAAGTAAATAGAAGTTGAGTTTAATTTGGGGCGGATATTTTTTGATGTTTAATTATAAACTGAGTATAATTGCACTTTTTTCTTCTTTTTAAATTCACAAGCAAAATACTCATAAAAATTTACAGTTACTTGAAAATTGCCCTATAGCATAAGACTGTGAATAGCTTTAGGCTAAATGAGAATTTCTAAGCCTTATTTTTGGGAAATGCCCATTTAAAAGAAGGAAGAATATAAAACAGGCTTATTATATTAGAAAAATAATTAATTAGAAAGTACAGGTGAATTTAATCTTATTTGTCAAATGTCAGTGAGCACTTGTAAATGAGAACTTCTATATTATTGCAAAGCAATGCAATTTATATTCTTTTATTCAAGAGAACCAGAAGGATAGATAGGAGAATCAAAATTTCATCCTGATGCTGCTTCATAGAGGACTTGCTGTAACCTAAGTAAAAGCTATTGGTTTGTATGAATTCTGTTTCATTTCATCAGTTTCTATCCATTTAGTTTGATCTTCTGCATCACATTAAAAACATGCAATTTGACAAGAATGCATAAGTAAGCAATACTGACAAGGGTTCTTAGTGGCTGTTTATAGTACTTAGGCAATTTAAAGCACTATCTGAAATTGTTTCATGTTATCTAAAATGCTTTTGAACCAAACCATGCTAGACAGTGCATTGCTACAAAATGTTTAAAAAGTGTCAGCCACCCCCAGGTACTGAAAATGAAGATGGGAAAAGAGGCTTCTCAGGCCTTCTGCAGCAGTGTTTTTGGAGCAAGATTTCCTTCTAATTAAAAGCCTCGCCAAGGACGATACTTATAATCTCTTGTTTCTATGGAAATGAGGAACATCACTAAGTAACTTTTTTCTTTTGTGTAGTTTCGAAGCTTGTGTAAGTCAGGGGAAAGGCTTTCGTTGGTTCCAGTATCTCGAGTCAAGAGAGGCAAATGTTCAGTAGTAGTTACCAACAAATAACTTCTTTTGATACAGGAACTGTTGGGCAGAGTTAAGAAAATGCAACATTCGAGGTGTCTGTAGCTGTTAATGAATGTGCAAAAAAACCCCAACCAAACAAAAATCCACCAGGCAGAACACAGTTTTGGTACAGCATGAGGCAGGGCTATGCCTGAGTTCACGAAGACTAGATGTGGAGGAACAGCTCAACATCAGATATGTTGTGTTAGCCTAGATATTTTTGAGATGTGGTTTATTGCTGTACTACATGAAATCGTAAGCAGAGGTTAGTTTCGGTGATGGTCCTTTAGCAGAAATGCCATTAAGACATGCACTTCACAAAGGCAAGTTTCTCACCATTTATCCTTCTACTCAAGGTTCATGGCCAAACTGTAGAAATCAGACAGACAATATGTGACTTCAGAAACATGATTGTAAAGAAAACTGATTAGATGTCGCTTTTTATCCTGAACCAATATTGAAGGAAAGCTTTGTAATGATTTCAAGATACCTCGTGAACCTGCAGGTCTTGTCTTTCATAAGGAATTGTGGAAATTGTTGGTTTGGAGTTTGTTTAGTTCTTGTGCTGGTGACTTTGTATCTTCATAGCTTTCTGAAGCCTTTACCTGTTGGCTGATTTTTGCCCTACTTAATCTCTACTGCCATTGTATGCTGTGGGATCTCCTAATTGTTGTATTCTGATAACTTATGAAACTATTATATATTAAATCTGTAAAATATTTTTTTCTGTAAGTGTATGGGTTTACAGACTAAGTGACAGTGAGGTGAAACGCAAACGTTTTGTAATAACTTATCTTTGATGACGTACCTAAACTAAGAACCTCACCTTTGGCAAGAAGCTCAGTCTTCTACTGATTGGTACAGATACCGTCCATGAACCACATAATTTATTTTCCCTATGTGCTGTTTCATCTGTAGAATATTTATTTATTTATGTGTGACTTTAAAATACCTCTAAACCAGAAATGTACAATTTTAATGTATGATTTTATGACTTTTAATCCCACTGTCTGAATCTCCCATTGGAGAATCCCTTCTTACTGGTAATCTTACATTTGCATTTTGAATTTGAAAGCAATAAGAAACTTAGATTTGCCTCTAGTTTAGTATTAAATATTTCCTCTTTCTATCTAGGTGTTTGTAATTTCAGGTGAAATTTCGCACATTCTGTGGGGAAAAAAAACTGTAGCATTTGATTTCTGAAGCAACATAATTAATAGGAAAAGTGAAATAGTAAATTATAACTGGAAGAGAGTATGTCATACAATTAATTTAGCCAACAGAGTGTACTAGAACACTGATTTTATATCAATTACATATTGCCAAATGCCATGAAGTATTCTTAACAGTACTATTTGATACTCAGATTTCAGACAACTGGCCCGGATACAGTCTGGATTTGTTCACTTATCCTCAGCACTACTACGGAGATCTGGAATATGTGCTCATACCTCATGGCATTATTGTTGACAGGTATGTGTAGTTTGAAAGTTACTAAATAAATTCTTTGGTCAGTAGTATTCTTTTTTATAAAGCCTGTCATCCACAGACAATGCGTATATAACATTTGTCCTAAAATACTATATTAGCAATTCAAAAAATAATTTTATTTATTTAATTTGGAAAGTAAATAAATGCATGAAGGTTAGGAAATGCTAGTCTTGTAGTTGCCTTTGTAACTCCTGGTCTAACTTCTCTCACCTAATTTCTGATTTGGGCATTGAGTGAGACAGGGGTCCCACGAAAAGAGGAGTGTGATCGTATAGTGAAATTGGCGCTGGAAGGTAGATTACAAGAGAGCTGAACTGAAGGTGAAAGGGCAAGTACAAAGCTTTGTATATAGTTATACATGAATGTCCCACTTGCACTCTAACCATCTTGTGTTTTTAATTCAAAAAGGAGAAAAAACTACATTCAGTTATGTACAACTTTGGCAAATCCTAGTACAAATCATTGATGCTGATTAACCTAATGGTTCCCAACTGCACCATTGACTTCTGCCATTCAGCACAACCGAAAAGTGTGTTGTGGACTGTTTGGGTCCAGATGCTAGGTTTGAAGGGTGGTGGTGGGAAAGCTTGATCATCCCTCATTCCTTACCTTGGAATATTTCCCATCTGCTCTCAGTGTAGGCATTTGATGGTGCTTCGGTGTTTGTGGTAGGCCAGTTCAGTGTTCATGCTCAGTTACTATTTTGACATGCTGTTAAAAATCTTACGAAAAAAAGTTACAAAATGGAAACAGTAATTTTCAACAGTATATTTATTAGGAATATCTCAATGGAATTCCGTGGGACATTTTCAGCCTGCAGCTTTCAACCTACCGCATTTTGACAGCCGGTTGCAAGTGCTGTAATTGTTGGAACTCCTTGAAAGAAAATTGTAAACATCCATCATAAGGAAGAGTTATGACTCCTGCATTTGTTTTTAAACACAAGCTTTCTTTCATTGCCTTTTCAGTTACCATTGTGTTGAATTTTTAATCTCTTTTGGTTAAGGTCAACTGACTTGTAATTGCTCTTTTTTAAAAAATAAATACCTTACAACTTCACTTGTCATACAATTCAATATAAATTTGTTTGAAGTAAGTGTTGAACTCCAGTCTTATTTTTGTAGTCCAGCAGAATGAACTTCACTGTTTTTTCTTACTCGAGCAGAAAAAAATAATTTTATTCTAATGGAAAAGGATGCAGAACTGAATATATTGTGATCATGCAAAATTTTCATGTAGGAAGAAAGATCAGCACTTGAGAAAATTCTCTTGTCAGTTGGTAGCAATTAAATATAGGTTAAAAACCTGGTATGTTTTTATTTAGAAATTGAAATGAATACATTTTTGCCTGTACTGGAGTTCATACTCTCTTAAAATGCAAAATGGTACTTGGTTTTTTTGGAAATTTCAGCTCCTCAGACAATCTCAGGAAGAATATAAAAAAATTAAAATCACCAGAGAAGTATTTCTTCTTACTGAAAGGTTTTCCCCGTTATTCTCAGACTTGACAAAAGATGATAAAAGACTATTTTACTAATCTTCAGTAAAGTAAGTGTAATTCTCTTAATAATCTTCATTCTTACATCAGTTAAAGGAATTATATATTTGAGGTGAAACAAGATGATCTAATGATATCTTCCATTTTTCAAATCTAAAAAATACTAATTGCTGCTATATGGAATTTATCTGAGCATTAAAAATACAAAGATCTGAAAATAAAATGACAACTTTTGCTCATAACTAGTATATTATCTTCAATATAGGGCTTATTCTTCTCCAGTACATGCATACATGTAGATTTCACTAAAGTTCAATGTATTCATGTAGTGGCAAATGGATTCCCATATTACAGTGGGTAGAGGAAAAGAATAGGTGAAAAATGTAATCCTGAAAGATATGGGATAAGTTATAGGATTATTTAATAAAATGCATCCTGTAAAGAAGTCCACTCACCGAAAATACTAACCTAATTCAGAGAGCTATCAAAGAACTTTCCAACGAAAGTGTTTACAGAAAATAATGCAGTGAGCTGTGTTTCCTCAAAACACCAGACAACATTGTTCAGTTTTATGTGATACCTGCTTTACATCTCAAAATGACCTGGTACCCTGTTTTAGGTCTAGAAATGCCATCTACCTTGCTCTTTAGAAATCAAAGCTACTTAAGATAAGCATTCATGTTTATTATTTTTATCTTGAAAATTTATGTACAATTGTATGGCAGAAATGTGTATCTTTTGGTTTCAATCATCCGCCATGTTGTGTTTGCAAGGCAGAATTGTCAAAGAGAAGACAGATATGGGAACCCTGCAATTCCGAGTTAATTGGAGCTTATTATTCTCACGTGTGTGACCTTGAGCAAGTCACTTAAGTTCTTTGCACTCTTCTTTTTTGCTGTGTGAAATAGTGATAACATACACTCTTTATAAAATTTTGATTGATATATTTCTTTATACTATTTGTGTATAGTTCTATAACAATTGTAGGGGTAGCGTTTTCCAAAGCCTATCAGTGAGAAGTATTTTTTAATAATCTTCTTCCCTATCTTTCGCTTAATTTATTGTTCTTGGGTAGTAACTAATGTAACAAGTTAGGTGGTTGCACAGGAATATTTTATATTGATGTTTCCTGTGAGGTAAAACTGAAGGCTAAGTTGTATTTTTTACTCCGAAGTGTCTGAAATGCTTCTGAATTCAACATATGATGAGATGTGTTACTCCCTTTTCTATAACTGGGGAATTTATGCATTTAAGGTTAACCAGTTTGATTCACATGCTTTGCATCTTGCATCCATCACTCTATATCCGCCTTCTGTGAACTTGATCAAAAGCCAGCCAAATCAAGACACTTAAACAGACTGTCAGTCAAGCTATATAGTCACCATAGTGTTTCTTTGTAACCACATGGGAAGCATACCATGAACTTAGAGAATCTGCATCTAATGTTATTTTATCCTTAATTTTTTTTGCCCCAGGACAGAACGATTGGCCAAAGATATTATGCAAGACATTGGAGACAATGATATTGTGGTTCTCTGTGTCCTCAAAGGTGGCTACAAGTTCTGTGCTGACCTTGTGGAGCACATTAAAAATCTCAGCAGAAATTCAGAAAGGTTCATCTCCATGAAAGTCGATTTTGTTAGACTGAAAAGTTACCACGTAAGTCAACAACTTATTTATGTAGATTCTGGTTGTATGTTCATAATAAATAGTGGACTTTGGTAAATGGGAAATTTCACCACCCCCAATTATAAGAAAAACAGTGTCAAAAATATTTTTGTTTGAAAAACCTATGAGGTTTTGTTCAAAATATTTGGTCATGTCCCTTTATACTTTATGGATAGTATGAATGAGGATATGAAGCATCCTCAAGCTGTATTTTTTTTATTTAGTCTGTCCTCACTTTTGGACAGAAAATTATTCAAGTTTCTGTCATGTAAAATGTCAGCATGTCGTTTGTTCTCAAAATCCTCAATAGGTCTGTCAAGTTTATTTCATGTAACTTTATTTTCCACCCCCACTTCCACATAGTTTGGCATAAGTGCAAGATGATAAATCTATGTCTTATTCTAAATGTTTAATGCTAAGTAAATGAAATGCTTTCATCTTCATAACATGCAGTTTACATATTAGCAAAACATACCACTAGATGATGATAGTGTTTTATAAGAAAATGAAATAAGCCATTGAACTAAATCCAGTGTTGAGGTAAGGATCAAGACTTCCTGTTATCTTCAGAGGAAATTATGCAATAATGATTCATTTGTTTTAGTGAAGCAATGGTAGTGGGATGACCGGCCTTTTTTTTACAATGCCTGATTACAATTTCTATTTGCATAAGCTATACATTTCTATTCCACCTCCACAGTGAGGGAGCATTTCTAGAAATAAGTTGTCCTAGAAATGTCTGAGTAAATACACTAAATAAATGGAGTGATAATACCGTTGCTCTCTGAGCACAAATGCAACTTGCTGAGTCCAGTAGGTCCCACAATAATGCTACGTCCTTTCCACAGACAGAGATTAATTTGTCGGCATTTTGCTCCAACGCCAGTGACCATAAACTTTTCCTAACTTTCACAAATCCAGTCTGAACTTTTTCCATCATGGAAGAGAAATGGATGAGAGCCTTTTGTAGCCATTTGTTTAGGATTTGGTCCTGGGACTTCTCTGAAGAATTAGTCATGTCTAGTGCAATACTAATATTGTACAATTTCTAGGTATTTAGCAGTATTACAGAACTAATTAAGAAAGTAAAATATAATGTTTGTCTCACATGAAGGCACATGGAAATTATACTCATATTTTTTTGGTGTAGTAATTATAGCATTTCAGTAATACTGCTTGGCGAACAGTGGAATTGCTTAAATTGGTTCTTATTTTTTACCTGGCATTTAAGGAATGCACGTGCTTTTCCTATTGGGTCATCTTTTATCCCGTATGAAGATACCCTGGTGTTAAATTTTCTTTCCTTGGTGACCAGTCAACTCTTATTAGTCATACTAACCCATAACCAATGAGTGGCAGGAGATGTATACCTCAAGTGTGGATATCTTCACATCATTGCTTAGGAAATAAAATAAAAGCATGTTATATCAGGCTGAAACTGCAATATAAATTTTGTTATGCAGGATGCCATTATCAAGACTTAAGTCCTAGATGATCTTAGCATGCATCTTAGCATGCACATGGCTGTGCATATTTTGGATCTTAGCCTCCTCATGCTTTAGCAGGAAGGTAGCACCTTCCCTACAACTAGTGCTTGCATCTAGTTTTTTAGAAAAGAAATCCTTTTTTTCTTATAAATTCTTCCAAACAAGTGTCATGTATTTAGAGCCTGAAGCTATGCTGGATTTAGTGCTTGGAACAGTGCTTGATATCTGCCTGGTCTTGAGAAGCTGAATGACACTGCAGTATAAGTTTGGAATGATGCTAATGTTGGTGGATTCATTCCATGAGATATGCATAAAGGTAGTACTGACTAAAGCACTAGTACCACTACCTGCCATCCCTTGCGTTTTAGTTATCGTTGTGTCTTGTCCAATTGCAGGTTTTAGAGAACGTACCCTTGTCAACATAGCCGTGGTCAGAACACTTGGGGAACTAGCTGTTACTAGTTTGAGTGACTCTTTGTCCCAGCCTTATGTGAGACTCCCAAATCCCCCACGTCAGTTTATTCTGTAGTATCATACCTCTCACAGTGTTTTACACTTTAATCAGAGGCAAATAATTACAGTGTTCGAGGTGAGACTCTACATGAAGTCTTGGAGCATCACAGATTCCACCCCTTTGCCTCCCTTTGCCTTTTCTGTTCCACTTTCTATTAAGACTTATTACTGCTCTGAACCCATTTTTCTCTCTTTTTATTCCTTTTTCATTCTATAGACACTGTTCTTCTCACATTATTTAACCTGCTTCCTTTTACTAACTGTTCTCTATTTCTCTCCTAAAGGGAGTCCTTCAGATATGTCTCCCTTCCCCCCTTCCAGCTGTTTAAATCCAACAACTAATTTCAGATCAGACTCATGGGATTTTTGAATTGTCTCATTCCAACTTCAATACTGAAAGGTTAGTCAATTTTTAGAGGTTGTAATTTAAAGTGGGATTTCTTGGTTTAAACATGGCAAAAAGGGCTGGTAATTGTGACCCAAAGTCAGATCTTGGCATCAGTGAAAGTGCATCTTAACTGCAAAGCATCAGCAGAAAATGTATTTTGATGTCTGGTGTACAGACATGATTAACTTTAACTAAAAGGAGATTGCAAATATGACTAGCTTTGCATGGCTCTTTGTTTTTCAAACCTCTCATCATATTCCAGAATTTAGACACTTAACTAAGATATTAAGATCTGCTTTCATATTATGTAGCTGAAAGTTGGACATGTAAATTCTTTTTTAGAGTTACTCATACGTATAAATTGATTTTTGAAAAAAGCATAGTGCATTTAGATTCTCTAGATATTAATGAGATGAGTGGCTGTTTGTACTTCCAGAATCAGGATGGTTTTATCTGGTTTGCAAAGTATTGACATATGTGCCTAAACTTGGACATTTTTATGAGAAAACCTTCTGTGTTTTTCAAATGATGTCTTAGTTTCATTACCTCAAATCGGCATGTCAGTTTACTGAATTTAATATATATGCAGGTTAAGTGGGAAAACACCCTTTGTTTATTATTTTCAGAGGAAACAAAGTGGAATCGAACTTGGGAAACTGTAGCTTAAAAATAATGTGGCTATACTGTTTATACTCTACAGACATCCGTATTAGTTCTTAGACATTAAACAGAATTCCTGAAACTGAAACTGGAGGTGCAGCCTGAAAAATATGAATGAACTTCAAAGGAATGTTGCTTGCTAGTCACTAGGAGGAAACTTCTAGAGGATTATGTGGATTTGGTCAATCATGTAATTTTTTAAAATGAATACATTATTTATGGTTTCCAGAACATAACTAATAAAAAAACGTGAACCTCTGAATTATAATCCATGCATAATGGTGGCATTGAAGTCTGCTCACAAACAAATCCATTGATATGATCTGTTTCCTCTTCAGCCTCCAGTTGTTTGAAATGTATTTACAACTGTTGGTTATTAATCTTGGCATAAACAGGACCATTAGTGCTGCAAAATTCCAAAAACAAGCAACAAAACAAGCATTGTTTAGTAGAAATCTGAATGTTTTTGCTGTATGAAGCCATCTCAGTAAATAGTTTTGCTAAATCTCTCTGCTGTAGGAGTAAGGAAACAGAGGGATTTTATGAGTAACTTGAAAGCCAGTTGGTAAATGTAGTAAAATAATTTATTTTTCTGCCGTGTAGCTTTACTTCTCATGCATCATTACTAAATGCTCACATTGTAAAAAACACAACAGCATGAGGCATCAGACTGTGATCAGAGTAGAGAAAGGTGTAAAATGTACTTTCCTGCTTTGCATAATAACCTATTCTTATTAAGTATAATTTTGCTGTATGGAACTTGGTTTTTTTAAGAGTAGTATGAACATCTGAAAACAATATATTGTAATCCTGACCCTAAAAAGCAAGTAACTTCAACATGGTTTTATTCATTTAACAATAAACAACAACAAAAGAAACAACTAAGTGTATTCCTTGCATTTAATTATTCGTATCTGTACCCAGACTCTTCACCAGTGTTACAATGATTGTTTATCTCCATGGCTGTGTGTCATGAAAACACAGCTATGATCTCCTGAGAAAACTGCGCATCCTGAGATGAAAGAGAATCCACATTAGCTTTTGTACTTACAGGTTTTCTCTTGTGCAGGTTCTGAGTTCCCTTTATTTTACTTCATGCACACAGTTTAGCTGATGACCCTGTCATCTTCTTGATGCTGAGTAGCCATGGAAGAATTACAAACTGGAGGCTACCTGGTAGAATGAATTCCTATCAACTTTAAGGCCAAATTCTGCAATAATGTCACAGAATCGAACTCCAATTTATCTTTAAATTCTCATTTTGACATGCAAATAAATATCTTCAGTGTAGGTTTATTTATTTAATTTGGAGACAGGTTGTGCACGTACTAGACATTAAAAAACTAAAATATACTTTTTTAACCTTTTTCAGATATATGGCTTGCAGCCAGCACTGTAGACAGTGAACAGCTGTACAGAGAATTTTTCAGCATGATATACTTTATAAGCTAATGGGCAACAAAAATATGACATTAATTTAGTCCACAGAAGCTACCAGTGTCAAGGATAACCTTAAAGTTGTTGCTATTCTGAGAAATGTGTTCTAGTGATTGTAGACTGTGCTGCCAAATAGATGTCTTATGGGCAAGCCAAAGCTGAGAGATTTGGGACTAGAAAGCTACTCCTAGAATTGCCAAAGGGATTTTATCTCTGTGTACTTTTCCATGTTTATGAATGGATAAAATGGCATTTGCACCCTGAAGTAGTAGTATCTTTTTGAGTGAAAGCTCAAACCTGCTAAATGAATGAGTAAAAGGTCCTTTACAGTTCCAAGCCAAAGATACTCCCAAGTCTTAAGCAGGCACTGGTGCTTTCTCTGTATCTCTGAGGCTTCAGTTATTTCCTGAAACTTAAAATTAAGACCAGAGCTGGTTAAGAAGGTGAGGAATAGTGGAAACAGATCATATTTTGTGTGGATAGAATGTTTAGAGATGCTACAATTC